CATGGCGTCGTGATAGCTGGAGACCGCAGCGGCTTCACATCTCCTGCCATTCAAAGAATGCAATTTGCTGATTCCCCACGTTTCCAGTACTTACTGAGCAACAACTCCCAACGATGTCCACGACGAGAAATCGGCGCCGGGCATGCCCTGGCGGTTCGCAGGGGTGTCCAGGACGACTGGTAACAGGCAGTTTACGTTGGAATCTTTGGGCATCCCGCTACTCGGGTCGGCCAGGCTAACGGTTAACTGGTGCACTGACGCCTTGGCCATCCCGTACCCAATCATCGTGGGAGTTTCTTGCTGGGCGACCAGCGCGCCCGCCAAAGACAGCATCCCTCCGTCGCGTAGGTACTTGGTGGCAATATGGGCCGCAATCACCGAAGGCTGGACGCTTTGATTCCACATCGCCAAGGTGCTCTCAAACAGGTTGCTGGCAGCGGCATTGCCTCCAGCCCACCCGCCTGCGACGCAAACAATCGCATCGACCTTGGTTTTCACTGCCGGAACTGTCGGTTGCGTATGGGCAGATGAGAGCAAGTCAGCGAGTTGAATCATGGCCTGCTGGCCTTGGTCTTCAAGGCTCAGGCTACGGTCCAAGGCGATATTTTCGTCCGCATCGGAATTGGCTTTGATATCAATTGAGATAACTCGCTAACGGGCCCCCATGGTCGAGAAATGCACACACATACATACATGCGTATAAACGGGTGAGCACGCACATTTGCAAGGGTTAGCTGATAAACTAGGGCAGTGGGCGTGTGAGCAAGGCTAACTTGAGCTGCGTTTCAGTAGGGCCAAGCAACCGGTAACCTTCAAGGCGGTATGGCCAATTCCGAAAGTGCTGGGCAGCGGCTAACCCACTGCGGCCTCGGCCGATTAGGACGAGCAATTCGGTGAACATGCTTACCCAGCTTTTGGCCTTGAATAGTTTGACCAGGGCGGAGCCCAGGGCGCCACAGCCTCCGTAGACAATGACTTGCGACATAGCGAGAGGTAAACGGGGACGAACTGGTAGTGGCCGAGCAATACAATGAAACGAGGACGAGGTGGTAGAGTCGCTACAGAAAGCAAGCAATTAGGCATACACCAGCACATACACGCCGGGCAGTGGACAGAGCCTCGCGGGTTAGATAGCGAGCAGTTAGTCTGTGG